CGTATTTATCATATTCTAGAAAACTGAACTTAATGAATTAGTTTAATACTGCTATGTTACCATTATGTAAAAGGTGTTAACTGACTACAATCATCGTCAAAAGTGTTGGGCAGGTTGCCTTTTTTACCTCTTCTTTTCCTTTCTCCCCCCGCTCCTGGCCCAATGTTGATCAAAACGTTGATGTTTTTGTGCGTAATTGTTCTGTTATATCCCAACATTGAATAGGGGGGACGGGGGATATTTAGCAAAAGAGAAAACTCTCTTTCTTCGGGATTAAAATGGACTACTGTTAAGTTGTACAACCTTCCCAATTACTTTTGTCTGTGATTGTAATTTTCCCGTTTTTTTAATGTGATCAAGTAGAGTGAAGATATACAGCTCATGCATTGGAATCTTAAACTGCCTGATCGTCTTCGGACGCCTACAACTGCACGCTCTCATTGATTTATTTCTTTAATAATAATACATTCCCATCCGGTATTACAATCGCCCATTAATTAAAAGGCCGACTCTACATTGTCAAGGTCGAGAATTGACGCCGTATTCCGTGGCCATTTATAGTAAACTTCCTCGATTCTTCAAATAGTTTAAATTCATTCAGGGTGTCGATTGGTTGAATCATGGACTGATTTAATATGTCATGATAATTCATGCATCAGATCTATTAAGAACAACGGAACAGCTGACGGAAGCCCGCACCTTACTGAAATGTTTGCATTCTAAACAATCTGAAATGAGCATTCAGTTTAGCAGTCTTTGAGTTACAGCTACGTGCTGAATTAACATCTTCGTAGTTTTCAGGGATAATTCTCAAGTTTTAGTTGTCTTTTGCCGCCGGAAATTACCCTTTTGCCCGGCGATATGCACATACTTGATCTCATCCGAATTGATGTATAATCTGCTTACAAATGTCCCCAACTGGATTGTTTAAAAATAGCCTTACAGACAGAACGATATACAAGGAACAAATGAACTTTAGTCTTTTTAATACCCCTTGGTCTTATACGGAAGGAGTGGTAAACGACGCTTTTGTTCTCATTACATTTGTTCGAATTGCGGTCCTCTCCACATTTTACGTTAGTGACAGATTTTTCTACAGTTCTTCCTGTCGCGTGTTATATACCTTATGAAAGTAAAATTTTTGGACTGACCAAGGATAGTTTCGATTTTCATTCACTCTTTTTACAGAAACATGAAATGGAACTATAAATTAAAGCTGTTTCTTATGGCATTTACCGGATGTTTCGAGAAAGTTTTTTTGTGCTTACCGGGTATTTAAGGCGAAAGTTCACGCGGCAATCGACCACTCTGGTACACGTTTCATCATGTTATGCCCGTTGTTGATTGTTGATAAAAGTCATTGTTTAGTTCAATGAAACTAAAAAATACGCTCTTTACAAAACCTCAATCAGTTCTTGTCAATCAGTCTTTTAATGATGGCAAATTGTTGTTTAGTACTAAAAAAAGTTCTCGGCGATATCCAAATATTTTTGTACAAAGGACGAATGTTACTATTTCTTCTTTCTTATGAATTACATCTCTGATTGACTACACCCGAAAGGCAGTGCAAATTCAAACCAATGAGAACCTTACCGTCTTTTCCTTTCCTAGCATTGTTTGTTTTATTTTATCGTGATTGGTCGCTAGCTAACGGTTATAGTACGGCTTCGGTCTGAATCTTCCCTGACCTTACATTATTATTTCACCCTTCGAAATGAAATCAGTCATCAATAATTGAGATAATAAAACCTCAGGAAAAAAAACAATAGGACAATTATAATAATAAGAAGAATAATAATAAATAGATAAAAACACATATATAGTATTACAAAGTCGACAAGAGGAAAGCTACATAAAATGGAGAAAAAATAATAAGTGGAGGAGAATAAGACAAAAAAATATATTAAATAATGAACAAAAAGAGTTACATTTAAAAACAACGGAGTCTTTTTGTATAAATGTTTTCTTAGAAAGTTGCGAATATTTCTTGGACTTATTCTAAATCAAAATAGGAGAAGAATTAATAATAATAATAATAATAATAGTAAACAGTTGTTATCTGGTATGGTACAGTTGTTTGACATTCTCACTTGTGTTTGATCCACGGCTAATTGAACTATAAAAGTCTCAATAAATATTTTATATTATGCCCAGGGTAGTTTCAGAGGCGTTTCAGGCCTTCAGACGCCCTGATGTTTAAATATATCTCATTGTTTTGCTCAAATGATAAAAATAGTGAGATACCATATATCAACAAGTTAAATCTATTACGTAATAAATTGAATTATATTGGGAAGTCTTTCGATAAAAGACCGCTTGAAATAGACTTTTATTAACTGTAACAACTAAATAGCAGGGAAATAATACTGAAGTGTAATTGTTAAATATCACATCAAACTTTAGGAAAGGATGGATATACTTTACTGCTACACTGATCCTATCCATTTCGATCGAAAACGAATATTCGAAACTCATTTATCGCGTCCCTGCATGTAGCGTTATGCGCTTCAAGGGGGACCTAGAAATTCAAAAACTAAGGGTTAGCCGAGACACTTGCCAGCTGTATAGATACTTAAGTTATTTTTATGTGATTCTTTACAAAATAATAGAAAATATCGTAGAAAAAGGGGTATCCCCTTGGCTAACTTCTAAATTTGTTTGAAATACGGATTTTTTTTTTCTCCATCACTTGCTAAAAAAAAATGTTGTCTACATCTTTATGTGTATATTCTTTTTTAATCCTTCGATTATTAGAATTCGATCTCCCTCCTGATTACATTTGGTTTTCTTGAGTGTCTATTGTATGTCTTATTGAACAAGCTTAAAAATAGAAAATTTAACTCAAGAATTAAGCTCAAGTTTGTGGCAGCAAAATAAGCTTTTGTGGGGGAGAGGCTGGAAGGAAAGAGATTTGTTTGGCGTCGTCTTTTACCAAGAGTTCCGTTTTCCTTCTACTTTATATAATCCGCGGACATCACTGCTAGTTCGAATTAGAGTGCGGTTTTTTTAAAGAAGCGTTTATGGTTAACCCTTAAAACATACATTTGTGTTCAAGGGCCAACGAAGGATCAAAATCAGTTTTCGAACAAACAACGGACACATTTGTAGAAGACGAAGCCATAGTCAGAAAACAATCGTATTATCTGTAACAAAGAAACAATAAAGAAATGATGAGGCAATATATTTTGTTTTGCCTGATAAATAACTGCCCCCGTTGCCAGAACTGGATACGAAAATTAAAATGCTGATCGCAGCTCTTTTTAGTTACCGATCTTTAAAATTTAAGGGAAAGGCATTTTCTGGTATTGTTGTGAATACCTTGAAGTAAAAGGGGTAATCGAAAAGAGTTACTCCGTTGTAACGTGTACAACGGTCAACACGCAACCAACAAAGGTGCCGAATCTTTCTAACCTAGTCAGCAACGTTTTGTTAAGCAACGAACCAATAGAGTAACAATATAAGACATATAAATAATTGCCTATTTCTGGATATGTTGATTAGAACTTTATAAACTTCGTCCAAATTTGAAGGCTAAGTTATATACATTTCTATGACAAGCGTGCAAAAAATTTATCTCGGTTCTAAAATACGGTAATAAAGAATCCTTCTGGAAAATTTGATCGTCGATCAATAACCCAAACAAAACCTACAAAAATAATCTTCCCCTGAGGCTTACTATTATAACTTGAGAAAAAAACAAGAGCGTACTCAATTCGTTTTTAAAAAAGCAACGATAACGCTTCAATGTCAAACGTTTCAAGCGTTTTAGGTTATTGCAGTTTTATTGTGTCAAGTTGTTTCATTTTGTTTTAATCATTCAATTATAATATATTATTTTTCTTATAGTTGAACACGCTTTCTCGTTTGAATAACTTCCTGTTGTTGTTCATAGAAACACTGATCAGTTATTGACACACCTTCCTTAGACCTTCTTTACCAAACAAACTAAGAAAGGAATTTTCCGATGTTTTTCGCGATTTAGGCAATAGTCATGTAACGGCTTGTTTTAACCGATACTCGCTCAATCATACAACGGATAAATATAGATATCATGATCAACACATCGACCACAAAGTCCGATACATGCCTCAACCTCTCTTCCGGAAACCTTGTGATAATATAACTTGTTTTTCTTTTCGAGAAACTCAAAAATAGTTTGCTTTTATCTCGGTGAAATTTATTAACAAAACATCGCTCGGTATGGAAGAGTTATCAAAGACATCTCTTCTACCAAAAATTGACATTTGAAGGTGATATTCATTGAAGCAAGTCAACATTATGCAGAAAAAAACAAAAGGAGATGAATGCGGACAATTGATGTTGTTCAAGGTCATGCCGCTGTATTGAATTCCGTAGTTTTTTATAGCATTACTGGCGTGCTGTTAGCCGGTCTATTATTATTATAATCACAAGTCCCCTCAACAGTCACGTAGTCCACTATTTTATTCCTCTAAAATTTACAATATGTACATGCATTTAAATAACTTAAGTTTTTTGAATTATATCTACATTATATAACATAATTTGATAAAAAGTCATTTCTCAAAAAGACATCTATTTGATAGTTGACTCCGAGCTGACAAACTTCATATTTTGTTATTTTTAGTACGAGTAGTTGTACTGATGTTATCATAACAGTTTCTTGTGTCTTGAGATCTCTTTACAAGTAAAAAGAAATGTGTTCTTCTATGAAAGGTTATTATTTAAAAATAATAATTTATTATAATCAGTGTTCCGCTCATGGCGATGTTGCTGTTCAACAAATCTGCCATCTCCTTCCATATTTTACTTGATGTAGTTGATTCATTCTTGAGCCTTTCAAAAGCCAAATGTCTTTGGATTTGTCAATACACTGTATTCAAATATTTTGCTGGTGGTATCCAAGCGGTTCGTCCAGTACATGTTTCTTCGTTTACGAGACCATTTATCACCGCGTGGACATCTAACTTGACCCGTTATTAGATAATTGACTCAACAGCTTGAGGTCTTCTTCTTTAGTTCTATCTGAGATATCCGAAGCTACTGAAGCAAGGATCCGTGAGATAAGGCATTTTAAAAACGTTTCCATCCGGCTGACTTGAAAAAACTGCACTCTCCAAGCCACAGTGCTGACCTGGGTTTGTTCCATACACATACAAGGCTGCCTGTTCATATCTCTTTTTGAACAAACTTTCCTGTTGAATTTCCTTCGCGCAAAGATCAAGAACTTCGGGAGTCAAGACCTTGGAGTTTTTTCTTCTGATGGTTCGGGGCAAACCGTCTCTTCGCTCGCTCTCCGTAGACCTTTCCGCAGCGCCTCTGTCGCAATCTTTGTTGACATAACCCTCTGAGTTCTCTGTTTCACTGTCACTAAGATTCATACTTCTTCGGTTGTACATGTTCACTTCAACTCCGCGCTCAATAAAATCCGTAAGCTGCTCTCTGCTTCGTTGTTATATGCTGACAACAGGGAAACGTTTTGATTGTCCTTGCTTGGCTGCCTAAATTGGGATCTCCAGCGGGTTATGGCTTAAAGCTTCTGTCACCGCAGCTTAAAATACTTTCATCACTCGACTTAACACCAAAGGAAATGCAACAATGCACGTAGAGGACAGCAATTTAGCGGAACCAAACAAACACAAACGACAGTGAATCGTCCAATCACTATCAATCACTGCTACATTTATTGCTATACCCTCTGCTCTTTTATGCTCCTACGCCATCTAAGCGTCCATCTTGACTGACGGCTGTAAGCGCCGGAAAACGATTATCTGTCATCGAGCACGTGGGCGCTAATTGTGTTGTTTTCGTTGTTTAGCGTGGTAATACGAGTTGAAATGCGGTTGGGCTAAAATTAACAATAATTTCCCTATCGATGTGATTAGGCAGTTTTGTGTTTTCTCTGTTAAGTGTTTTGAAAGACTTTGTTGAGTTAATCTTTTGAAAACAGTTAGAAACATTTTACCAGCTAAAGCGTTACCGGAAAACGATTTATACATGAACCACTAGAAAAATCACGCAAATGTAATATTCTTGAGCNATCTGTCATCGAGCACGTGGGCGCTAATTGTGTTGTTTTCGTTGTTTAGCGTGGTAATACGAGTTGAAATGCGGTTGGGCTAAAATTAACAATAATTTCCCTATCGATGTGATTAGGCAGTTTTGTGTTTTCTCTGTTAAGTGTTTTGAAAGACTTTGTTGAGTTAATCTTTTGAAAACAGTTAGGAACATTTTATCAGCTAAAGCGTTACCGGAAAACGATTTATACATGAACCACTAGAAAAATCACGCAAATGTAATATTCTTGAGCTCATTTTTCTGTTTGCAAAATGCTTTGTTAATTTAAACTTAGATGTACTTTTTGCTTACTTTTCAGCTTTGGAAATATGACAAAAATAGTCAGAGTGTCTACCTTTTTTTTTGGAATTGAGATGTTTCAATATTAGACATGATCCTATAATAAACTTTGAAACAATTTCATTGAGTATGAGTCACACCAGAGAAACGAAAACAAAATACAAGATCTATTTCGGTCTACTTCAAATTCGGTGAGAAATGATATTCTCTAAGTCTTAAAAATAACGATTTATTTTCTGCACTTTGTTTGGTTTCCCTGCGCAAATTTAGCTGTCTATATTTGATTTAATCTTTCTCGTTTTTTTTATCAGTTGAACAGAGCACTAATACCTATTTTCTTTAAGAGGGGAGTCACGAAGACACATTGAAAGCTTTCATTGCAGGGCGACTGAAAGTCTGAAAGAGCCACTGAAACAGCACTTCAACATTCAAAGTGCAACAGAGATTTGATTCGATTCAGTGGCAGTCTATTGACTCCGTTAACCGGCTGACTGGCTTCGTTTCCACAGGATTCAACCACGTTTACGTTAGTAAAGAGCGGCTTTAGAGAAGAAATTATACCATCCAATTTTGAAGGTACGGTCGGAAATTAAACTTGGAGCCTTGATCAGCAAAGATTCCAGAAAAAAGTACTTATGTATTAAATTTACCAATCACGAGCTGGGGCATGCAATCACTCGCATCAGTAGAGTAGAATTTCCTGAAGCAATAAAGCCTTCATTATTATTTTATCATTCAAGAAAATTTCCAGTTTAAAACATCAATGAATTAACCGACTCAATGTTAAATGAACCATTTTAACAAAGAGCGCCACCCACTGAGTTAATCCCTCGGAATGCATTCCCTCTCCTCCCCCTCCCCCACTAAAATCCCTGCGTAATACCGCGGTTTCCTTTCCTTGGATTTCTTTCAATGTAACTTCTTTCGAGCAACATCATTAGTGTCTATTTTTCTGATTTTACTCCACTAAACAATGACGTTGATCAATCAACGGACATACCATGCTGAACAGACAAAGAGTCAAACAAATAATTATCTTAAACTTCCGTGAATAATGTGCAAAAAATTCAACAATGCATAATGCGTGAAGATCTGACAGTCACGTCTGTACATATGTCCAGCTTTCTCCAGGATCTATACAGTCTATATAGCTTTTACTGACGTGTTTGGCCTGTTTACTGAGTTTTCGGAGTGAAGGACATGTCAAGATGAACGAACAGTTGGTGTCGTTAAAGACTAAACGTTAATATTGTACTTACACAGACAATTAAAATTTGCAATGACGCAGCTCTGTAATTCCACTTTCAGTTTCCGTAAACACCAAATAATGAATCATTCAGCAGTCTTCAGAAAATCGCCGAAAATATCTATCTTCCTCTAAAACACGTCCGTCTGAAACGATTTCCACCAAAAAGCGTGCAGTAATCTGACAAACGTAAAATTCGTTGTTTGTAATTATATATAATCCATCATTTGCCTCAATTTTCGAATTCAGTCTTGTTTCAGCACTTTTTGCTTTATAATGTAACATCCAGGAACAAAACTGAGAATATAGTACTGACATGGCTTCATGGATATACTTAGTCTACTTACTAAGGTGTACTAATGTTTCGTATTAGGGGCTCATGATTTTTAAGTTATTTATCTGATGAATTTTAAAGGCCTCGGCCCATGTAGGAAACTTAACTTTTATAGTTCTGACAAATAAAGGGAACGCGATTGCCGACCAAGCCATTACATAAGACTCCTAGGCCGGTGAATTAGTTTGTTGAGAGCCAGCATCACTGGCATCTCGGTTTGCAGCTTCGTTAACCGGCCAGAAACCGATCATGCACTGCTCTGACTTTCCTTCATGTATGTTTACTCAGTATTAAAATAAACCTTTTTTCCAGTTAAGCAATTTCAACAAAATCAGCACTCCAAAGAAAATGAATCCAAAAAGAAACAAAACCGGCACCCATCAGTCATAACGTAATGTAACATTCACTGTCCGGGAATCCGCGCATGTAAGATACGATTTTTATCATGCAATAGTTGTACTAACTTTTCCGCCCTTAGTTACGGTCAGTAAACGGAAAAGTAAGGCGTTCATTTGATGGCATGTTTCTGGCCTCCTTTTATAACTGCAGAACCTTGAATCAAACCGCACACCAAAGTAAGAATGACGTTGAATTGAAAATAAACGAAATCAAGTATTGTGGAGAACAGCTAGCCTGACAGCAAAATCCGTAAGAATCGTTTTTGACCCTCGAACGCAGGGAGTTTCTCCTTACGCCAAACACCCGCGTTCCTAAAATTAACGTGGATGATTTATCCGGTGAAGGTTTCAGTATTTTTCCACAGCGATGCCGTTTATTTTTTGTTACAGTAGGTATGTTGGACAATGAAGGAAATCATCAAAAACAGACAGAAAATGGCACTTTACACACAAGTATTCACTATTGTACAGTAGTTGCGATGACGCAGCTTGATTCCACTTAAGTTTAAGTAATCTCGGAGATTTACACTCAGGGGAATCCGAAAATGACGTTAGAAACTCACAAATATCATGAGGTCCTCTGAGTCTTTAGTACAGTTTAAAACTCGTGCAAGTGCGAAAAGCATACAAGCGAGAATCCAGATGTTCATCGTCGCTTAGTTGCAATGTGGAAAGTAGTAGAAGATACAATGTGCGTTTTGTGGTATGTATATGTGTGTATCAGTCATGTTGGGGGCCCGGGGTTGGGGGCTGAAGCCCGAAGAAGGAGTTATTCTTGAATAAGCTAACATTTAGATTTAAGATTACACAGTTTGAGTTATACCAGTTACACCTGTAATATCAAGTTTACTTTAATAAGGAAACGATTTGGTCATATATTTTTTGAAAGGTCGATATATACTTGACAGCATAAATGACATGGCAGTATAACGGTTCTGGAAAACCTATTTTAAGATATGAAACTGCCCACCATAAAAACGGCCGGAAAAAGCCACTGACGGAATTCTGTTCATGTCCGGCAACCTTGATTTTGACCTTGCTGTTTCAAAAGTCAATTCTTAAAACCCATATTTGTCGATTTCAGGAAAATAGTGGCATAATTTTGTACAACAGCAAACAAAGCCAAAAATTCTAAGAACTGACCAACAACACGACAGCGGAAGTCGGGTGTAGGCTTCTACTGTTAACAGTTGTAGTCACACGGAAATCGAGAGAAGCTATAAGCACTCAGGAGAATCTGGAAACCAGACTCGTTCATTTTTGACTGAAAAGCCAACTGGTGACGCAGTAATTCTCTTAAGAACGTAAACTAAAAGGGGTCATTGCAATTTTACATCAAATACACTGAAGGAAGTGAGCCAGTTAGTATTGAACTCACGTAATGACGTAGCACAGTTCCTCCGATTTTAAGAGTTGTTTATTCCTTTTAAGAGGATGGAGTGACGTTAGATAACACGTTCCCTCGATAGCAGGTGTTAACAGATGTTCTCTCTCACCGGTTTTTTCTCTTTGGATTCACCATTTTCACATAGATCATAATGCACTTTATTTTTCCCCCCGAGTTTTTCAAAACAATTGTCTTCAATTTCTCTTAGGACGCCTGTATTAACAGGAGAAATTGAAAACAATTGTTATGCAAAAGTTGGTGGGTGGGGGGGGGGGGGGGGAAAAAAAGGGGAATTTATTTGGGTTGTGTGAAAAGGGGGAAAAAGGGGGGGGGGGTGGAAGAGTAGGAATTTTTATATTTTTCCTAGGGGGATTTTTGTGTGTGAAAAATTTTATTTCCAAAACTTTTAATTATTTTTTTTTTCTTTTTGTTTTTCAAGGAAGGGGAATAGAGT